TTGCTTCACCGGAAATTACTACAACTTTTGATTTTTCAATGGCGTTCTCGGTATTGTTTTACTCTATTCGATAGAAAATGACACTCTGAATAGAACGACATATCATATGTCAACTTTTGACATTTTCGATTAAAAAAATTCTGTTTAAAATTTTAATCTAGAGTGGCTGTGTTAAAAATACTAAATTTTAATCAAGAAGCCTTGGAAAAATATATTTGATCGTCTAATGTTTTAGTGTCTTTTCCTGGCCGGTTAAAAGTTGCCCAAATCGTATTTTTAATCATATCTCAATTTTTTCAAATAGAAAGAGCGTATTGAGAAAAAGAATATTTTACGAATTGTCGTTATGAACCGCATGTTACAATTTCAAATAAACTATATGCGAAAATGTCAAAAGTTGACATATAATATGTCATTCCATTCAGAGTGCCATTTTCTATCTTATAGAGTAAAAAACTACCGAGGGTACCATTTATAAATCAAAAGTTGTAGTAATTTCCGGTGAAACAGGAAGTGACCGTAAACAATTAAATACGTCAATCAATCCTAATTTATGTCATATACTAACATACCAAATCTCGTTTTTTTTATCTGAAAAAATACAAAAGTTATAGGGGTAAGCCACTTTTGAGATACACCCAGTATATCTGAAATTAGTAGTAAGTTCTACTTATTTTTATAAATTTAAAAGGCAAAATATACCTTTACTAGCGTGTACCAGCGACTTCGTTCGCGTCGAATTAATCATTTGTAATGGTGATGATAAAACAAAGCAAGAATTTCCATTAACAGACAAACTGGATAAAATTTTCTCACATTTATGTCAGCATGAGAAAAAACAATATGGCGATATTATTATATAACTTGGTAATATTTGAGGGGTAGTTTAGTTGAGAACTAGGCTCGTTAAGTGTTATGTTTGGTCAATCAATATTATACGGAGCAGAAACATGGACACTGAAAGTTCAAGAGATGAATCGCCTCGAATCGTTCGAAACATGGATATATCGAAGAATGCTTAAAATTCCATGGACAGCCCATATCACAAATACCGAAGTCTACAACAGAATAGGCAGAGAGAGACAATTGCTCAATATAATAAAAATAAGAAAAACATCATACTTAGGGCATATATTGAGAAATGAAAAATATCACGTCTTACAATTGATAGTTAAGGGTAAGATTGAAGGAAAGAGAGGTCTCGGCAGGAAGAAACTATCTTGGTTGAGAAACATCAGAAACTGGACTCACCTAACTTTTGAAGAACTTATAAGGAAAGCCGAGAATCGTGAAGATTTTGCCAATGTGATCGCCAACCTCCACGAAAGAGACGGCACGTAAAGAAGAAGAAGTTTCATCTCGTTGGAATTTGACTTTCGAAAAATCCGTTTGCCAAAAATAAGCTTTTTACGTCAAGCAGTTTAAGCAGAATCGTGGTTAATTAATTACCCAACTTTTGGAACACCCAGTATAGTTTTTTAAAAATTTTTAAAATATGTAAAAGAACCAAATAAATTATGCTTGTCCAAGCGTTTTTGCCGAAAGACTAATCGTTTTTTAAATAACAAATATTGTAATATTTGAGGGGAGTTTTCATCCTCTTAGAATTTGAGATTCGAGAAACCCCTCCTTATCGAACCTCTACACCCCACAGTCAATCCGTTTGCCAAAAATCAGCTAACGTCAAGCAGTTTAAGCAGAATCGTGATTACTCAGTGGTCATATTTTATGGAACACCCTGTATAAATTTATAAAAAATCTTAAAATATGTAAAACAACAAAATAAAATATACGTGTTTAAGAGTTTTTCCGAAAGACTCACCGGTTTTTATATAAAAAATATTTTAATATTTGAGGGATAGTTTCACCCCCTTAAAATTCGAGTTTCGAAAAATCCCTTCTTATCGAACCTTTTTTTATCGAACGATTTTTAAAAAATCTTAAAATATGTAAAAAACAAAATAAAATATAAAAAATCCCTTTTCGCCTATGTTCCCTTTGTTATTTATACATAAAACTTTCTGCCTTTTCCGAGATGAATTCTGAATTTTTCCGAGACGTTCGTTTTAAAACAGCATCCAATATAAAATGAGATAATGTGGTGGTTAAAAAAACAAAATGCTCACAAAAGATGAGGCTACAATATGATTTAATTTAGCAATAGCTACTACCGCTGCTGCACCCTACAGTGTATTACAAATTTCGGGCAAAAAACTTCGTTTTATTGTTGTGCCCTGTATATGCTAAAAATAAATTCGGAATAAAAATTTCTGACGTAGCATCCGTTAAAAAGGAATTAATTTACAATTTAAAAAAAAATCATCAAAATCTAATGAGTGGTTCGCGAGAAATCCAACTTTGAAATTGGGACTAGTTTTTAGTGGCCGGTTTTTTTTGCCGGTGAGTTTATATGTGCCTTCTATGTTGAACACTATAGTTGTATTGAAAATATTTTTTTTACATTGACAAATGTGTCGATTATCAAATAACAAAGTCAACTTGTAAATTTTTAAGAGGAAAAAGAATAGCCAAAAGAATATGTCAATGAATTGACATAATATGCTAAATGTTTTCGATCAATAACTTTTTTAGCATCAGTAGGTACCAATACTAATCCCAAAATCATTAAAAAACACAGTATTGCTAGTTTATTAGAAGAGTTCTTCTAATCATTGTTAATTGCACCGTATATCTTATCGAATTCAAGAAATACTCTCTAATTTTGAAAATAATTGGCCACAATTTTATTGACCAGTTCATTTCCTAAGTCATGTTTACAATCTTTGCACCATAAAATATCGTTATTTGCAATACTTATCACATTTAAACCATCATTTGTGCATTAACCAAGAAATATGCGTTTTACGCTAATTATATTCCTCTGAAACCTTATATCATACCATTACTGTCAGTGGTTATAACTACGGCGTGAAATATAAAATAGCGTTAAATAAGATAGACGGTCAATAATCTCGTAAAAGTAAAGTTCAGAAGTGTTATAGATGAATAGGGATACTGTAATTTGCCAATTCAGATGCAATTGGTATTCAAATCGATAGGTGAAAGTCTGATTGCTGATAAATTTTCCTTAATAGAATTCATTAAAATATGAGTCTTGCCAAGTGAGGTGGAAAAGTGGAAAGTCTTCTAATAATGATAATTTGGTGTTTCTACCAAATAAAATATGATGTTACACTACCTACAGGATAATTAAAATATACTTTTACACTAGAGTTGCTTTTTTATTTTTTGACTAATTTGTTTTTCCAAAATACACTATTGTATTTTATTATATTAGTTAAAAATAATGATGAATTTGCTATTTTATAATGTCAGGACAGTTCTGACAGCTTGGGCGCTTTAAGAAGCATAACCATGCAATCAGTAAGATTGAAAACTATAATGGACTAGCGAGAAGCACTGTCATGGCTGCGTCAAGGCAGGGTCACCCTGTGCTGGATGCCAGACCACAACAATGTCGTGGGCAACCAAGAAGTGGGCAGACTCACCAGTGAGGGAGCTAGAGGAGGGGCTATGGCAGGTGACCCACCACTTGTGATGATCAACACACTCAAGGAAGTTATAGGGACTACCTCCAAGGCCAAGCAGCAAGAGACGTGGCAACACCGTGAGGACTGCGGACAGCTCGACAGAGCCAGCGCTAAGACTTTTGTTTGTTATCTGTGGCTAAGACTGTGGCCAGTGGTAGACAGCAAGGTATGATGGTGCACAAAAGTGGAGCACAAACCTAGTAGTAGTAGTAGTAGTAAAAAGAACCTTGTAGGCACAGGGGTGCAACTGATCCACGGAGGTAAACCTCGCGAGATTGAAGATTTCCAACGACGATTTCTGCAGAGAATGTGGAGAGGAAGAAGAAACCATAGAATACCTCCAATGGTATTCTATGGATGAATGTGCCACTGTTCGGCACTAGAATATCGACGCTTTACAACTTTAGGGCACGGTTTTTGGAGGGATTAGAGGAAGCAGCAGAAGCCAACATGAGCGACATCGGGAACTTTGCAACGAGCTGGAAATTCTTTAACTCAAAGAAAGAATGAGAGGAGGGTTTGGTCCAATAATACAGAGGCATCTCAATGGGTCCAAGTCCTCCGAGTAAGAGACCAAACAGGATTCCATACCCCAACATCCTCACCTAACCTAAGCTCTACTCAGAGAAATATGTATATACAGCATTCCATTTAACCAGCTAAAAATTTAGTATAAAAATGAAATTTGAAAATAAAAATAAATAATACACACCTGGCCTAATCTTACAAAAAAAGAGACTGGATATTTCAAATGGGAAACTTGATTTAGCAGCCTTTGTTTATATAAAACTTACCTATATCTAAAATTATATGAATTTTAAATCAAGAATATATTTTATATACTTATTTTCTTTTTTATCGAGTTAATATAATCAGTAATTATTAAAAAAAGTGCTTTATATTTTTTGGAAAGTCTACAATTTTAGGAAGTATCAGAATTACATCAAGGCATATCTGCTTCTCCCATTTAAATAATTTTCTCTCTATATCGAGATATTGCTACTTCCTCTACGATCAACGTCTTGAGAAACAACTTTGTTATTATAAAAAATTAAATAACACTTTATATTATATTAACACTTCCACTTTTTTGCAAATTTTGAAAACTAATTTACCTCATTATAGTACAATATTGCATATACACATACACAAATTATTATGAAAGTTTTGCAAGAGTTAATCTTTTATAGTTACTAGTATACCTACATAAAATATTGAAGACTCAAAAATAGTGTATTCCTGCAATCTTGAATGTATTGAATGTCGTAATTACATACTTTCAAATATTTCTTTAAAAATGTTATTTCATTTCTCCAAAATTCAACTCAATTGTGTTGGAAATAAATAGTTTTTATTGGGGATATCGATTAAAGCCTACAGAGTGTTTACAAGGAGCGGTAACACTCTACCCTACGACCATGAAAAACTAATATTTATTTATTGTTTTAGGCTGTAATAAAGAAATCCAAAGTTACATGCAAATGTCATGGAGTTTCAGGATCATGCTCATTAATTACATGTTGGCAACAGTTGGCTAATTTCAGAGAAATAGGTAAGTAAATTCAAATTACATCTTCTCTAACAAAAACGACTAAAAAGGAAATAAATAAATAAAAAAATAATATAAAATAAGGTTTTTAGTTTTTCCTAAAATTTTTAGATTAGTAGGAACGAGAGATGAAAATAATTTCCACTTTGCCATTCTTATATTATTAACTTTTTGAAAAAAATATCTTCTGTATAAAAAATGCTTGTTTTAAAATAGTTAATTCCATTTATACTTTTCATATTTTTCTATTTTTCCCTGAAACAGTATGAAAAATTGAAAAAGTATAAACGTGGGAATCAAACATTTTTATAAAGCATACAACAAGCCAAAACGTTTATGAAGATGCATTTTTCTTAAAATGTTAATAATAAAAAGTGTTTCCTCTTGTAAAAACGAAAATCTGGAGACATACTGTAAATATGAAATCGGAAGAAAAATATCTTTCAAAAAATATACAGGGTCATGTTATGTTACAAATTTTTCTTAACTTTCTGAACATCTTTTGTTTAGTTTTATTTTCACTTTCTGGAAGTGCAGGTATAAAACTTTACACATCCTACTTATTTAACTACATCAAATGGGTAAGCTTGCGCACTAAATATCTCGGAAAACCCTGTATATGTTTTTTGTCCCGAAGCCCTTTAATATTAGAGCATCGTGTACAGGGTGGGTCAAATTGGACGCTTTTAAAGGGAAACACCCTTTTCTATAGGAGATAGACGAAAACTAATATCTGTGTCTGGAGTTCAATTTTTATTAAAAACATGATGGTGAAAACCGCACATCGATATCTGTTACCGTTTCGGAGTTACAGGGTGTTTTCAATCGCTATAACTTTTTTGCTATGGAAAATTTTGAATTTTGTATTTTTATGAAAACATTTCTAAAGCACCTTTTTACGTAGAATTTAATGGTTTAAGTATAATTTTCTTAAAATTAATAATCTAAGAATTATCAACAGAAAATTTGATTTTTTATATGGGAGACCCTGTATATTTTTAATTCATCGAAAAGAATTTAAAATTACCTTTCCAAAATTATAGCATACTTGATATTTTGCTCGATTCCTCCTCGAGATATCGAGTTTTTAAAAATCCGCCCACTTTGAACAAGAATTTATGCTTTGAACGGCGCCGGCTATAATGCCAAAAAATCTAACTATGAGCAGCAATTAAAACGAAAACAATATTTGCATGAGAGATGCAGAATTTTATAACAATTTAAACTATGTTTAACCACATCAACACAATTAAACTATATCTAATAACAATAAAAATTACCAGCGAACCAAGACATGGGATTTTGCTGCAGGTGTTCGACATGTCGATCGTCTTCTGTTATACACAGACGGGACCGTTTTTGGACATTTCTCGCGGAATTCATTAACTCGGTGGGGGTGAAAGATACCCTCGCATAACCACTAAGTACTCCTAATTTTTGTCTAAATTATACGGGCAATTTAAAAATAAGAACCTTTATTCTTCTGCAAAGATAAAAATCCACTAAGAATAATAGTCGTTCCCTCTCTTGCTGAAAAAATATGTTTTCAAGTTCCATTAGGGGCAGATCATTAATAAGACCTACTATATATTTAAAAAGGCGAACTTATAAAAATATTGTATTTCGAAGGGGACTATAACAAAATATCAAGTGTGCTATATTTTTGGAAAGGTAATTTTAAGTTATTTTCACTTAACTAAAAATAAACAGGGTATCCCAAATAAAAAATCAATTTTTTAACTCTTAGATTATTAATTTAAAAAAATATACTTGAACCATTAAATTCTACGTAAAAAGGTGCTTTGGAAATGTTTCACAAATATACAAAATTTTCCATAGCAAAAAAGTTACAGCGATTTGTTAAAAATGCACATTTTTGAGAGACACCCCGTAACTCATAAACGGTAACAGATATCGAGGTGAGGTTTTCACCATCATGTTTTTGATAAAAATTGACGTCCAGATATCAATATTAGTTTTCGTCTATCTCATATAGAAAAGGGTGTTTCCCTTTAAAAGCGTCGAATTTGACACACCCTGTACAAGGCGTCCAATGAAATGGTACATTCCTTTTTAGTCCTCATTTGATTGTCTTTCCTCCATCAATCAAATCAGGTTAGCAAATTGTAATTTTACAGAATTATCTTAATTTTGAGTCGAGTGATATGCAATGATACATAACAACATGATTCTAAAATCTAACCACTCCCTTTTACATGCATACATATATAACAATATGCCCCAGCTACTATAACATCATCAATAAATATCTACAGACAATAAAAACGTTGTAAGGTAACGAAATAATCCTTAATGGCGGTATAAAACGCCCATTATATAATAGATGGAAAAGGTTTCTTGTCTGATTAATTGTTGGTATCTCTTACGGAACAAGTAGGAAATAAGATGCACCTGTACTTTACATTAAAAAAATGGTCTTGCGACTCAATTGAAACGCATCGACTTGGTGCCTTGAATCAAATAACGAAATATCATTTTTGTTATCAAATAACGAAATATCATATCGTTTTTGGTACTCCAAAAAAATGGTTCTTTTTTTGACGTTTTATATTGATGTTAATAACTTGCAAAGAGACGCGAGTTGAATTGCAGGTGGTTATATTGACACTTTAATAGTTTTCTATATTTTATTACCGTTTGGTGTATATCGTAAAACCATGTTTATGCTTTTTTTCGATAATAACAAATTCTATCGCTTTAAATTTATTACTACAGGGGTATATAGTAGAAACGGAAAGTTAGATAATAAATTTTATATCTTTTAAGAACCTCAATCTTTGTTTAATCAATATACTTAGAAATTTGTTAGAGGTACTGCCAAACAACTTAAAAATAACGTAAAAAATGTGATTTTAAAATGATGTCTTATGAAATTCTATTTTTTTGTTAAAAATATTTTCTTTTCACTTCTGTTTAACCGGAAAGTAGCTAACAAGTAGCTCATTTAAATATATGGTGATATATTTTATCATACAGGGTGTTCCTTAATGACATGCTAATGTTTAAGGGGGTGATTCTTGGACCTATTCTAAGAGAAAAACTTCATATGAATGTATGTCCTAAACATCTTAATTTCTGAGATACAGGGTGGTAACATTTTCTTAAAAAAAACTTCTTTTCATAATTACTCTGTTTTTTTTCGTATATATACATATAGTAGATATCTTTATCAAACTTGATACACGTGTTATATGCATCAAAGTACATTTTTTGGTGTACAAAGAATTGGGTTGGGTTCATTCAACCAGTGCCGTCCATACGGGTTTTACATTGAATATTTTTGGAAAAAAAAGTGGTACACTCCATTAATATATAAATCTTCATTCATTTCTAAATTTGTTTTATCTCTTAATTTTTATCGTCAGACGCATAGTTTTTGCTTAAGAAAATTGAAGTCAGCTTACTTCAGGGTGAAATCGCTGAAAATCTGATGCGGTAACTGTTATGCGGAAATCATTTCTGCATCGGCTGTAAGGAAATTAAATAAAACAATTTTTTGTATATCAAAATTAGCATTTTGATGCATGGAAGACGTGTATCAAATATAAGATTATCGATATTTTGAAAAAAAAATAGAAAATTTTACCACCCTGTACCTGAAAAGTTAAGAGGTTTAGGACATATGTATATTCATATGAAGTTAGGTCCAAAAATCACCTCCTTAAATATTAGCATGTCATTAAGGAACGCCCTGTATAAGGAGAAATAAGTTTTTCATTTAAATTGATACTTCCTACTCTTTTAAAAAACTTTTCCATACAACCGAAAAGAAAGGGCGTCGAAGACGGCTGGGGAATGACAATCTATGATAATTTTGGCAAGGTCGAGGCCCGTATTCTTCTTTATTTTTTAATGGCGCTTGTTGCCAGTTGGCCAAGAAGGTTGTCATTTATCTACACTGAGTAAAAATGATCCTAGAGATTGACCTCGTCAAAACTATCATCGATTATCATTCCCCAGGTATCTTTGACGCCGTTTTTTTGATCATACGGTATTTTCTTAAGACAGTCGTCATAGCTAGTTATGATTTAATAGAGAAAATAGACTAATAGAAAAATGCTTTATACTTGTAAATGTCTCAAAAACTATTACTAAAAATTTCGGACTTCCATGCTCATTATTTATTTTAGCTTACACAACATTTCTGTCAGATGTATCACTGACCGTTATCAAGTGTAAGCTGGTATCGAAAACTCTATTGTAATTAGTCATAGACGAGGTCATAGATAACTTTATGTAAAGTAAATTTATTTTTGGTGATAAATCAACTGAAGAGAAGAAAAATTGGTGTTTAAAATATAAGCAACACAAATTTCAGAAATGGATTCTAATATTGAAAAACACTTTGTAAAGGAACTGTTAAACATAAAAACCAGCATTTTCGCATTGATTTATTTGATGACAATAAGGTATGTATAAATAATATTTTTCAGGGCTTCCGTGTTTCGTACTAATAAGATTTGAGAAAACTTATAGAAACGGAGCATTAACCGATTTTGAAATATTGCTAATTTTATGTTAAATATAACATTTGCAATGTAGAAGATAATTATTAAACGATTGTTTTTTCTGATGTATTGTTTTATAAATTTATGTTTATCTGTCTTTCAGAACTGTTTTTTACTTAAATTTCTATAACATAGCATATAGAAGTCAACTATTTTAAATGGAACACTCTATTTTTTTAATATTTTATTGAGCGCCAAACATAAAAGCACCTGTGTATAAAGCTCTCTATACATAACTCTAATTTTTTTTTAAATATTTATTTGTGTGTTAACTTTTTCTTATTGGTAAACCTAAAATGTTATTATTTGCAAGCATATTATATTCCATTAACAGATCATAACTAGCTATATAATTTGTGTCACAGAGTTCTGAAAATTTACATATTATGGTGCTATGTTCTGGTCGAATTATTTCTGTAATTATGTATAAAAAATTACTAAATGTACATTTACTAAAAAAAAGGTATGCCATCC